TGACTGGGAGAGGGGAAACATAACCCCCATTTTTAAAAAGGGAAAAAAGGAAGACCTGGGGAACTACAGGCCAGTCAGTCTCAGCTCTGTGCCTGGCAACATCATGGAGCAGATCCTCCTGGAAACTATGCAAGGCACATGGGAAATAAGGAGGTGATTGGTGACAGCCAACATGGCTTCACTGAGGGCAAATCATGCCTGACAAATTTGGTGGCCTTCTACGATGGGGTTACAGCACTGGTGGATAAAGGAAGAGCAACTGACGTCATCTCCCTGGACTTGTGCAAAGCATTTGACACTGTCCTGCACTAAATTGGAGAGACATGGATTTGACGGGTGGACTACTCGGTGGATAAGGAATTGGCTGGATGGTTGCACTCAAGGAGTTGGAGTCAACGGCTTGATGTCCGGGTGGAGATGAGTGACGAGTAGCATTCCTCAGGGGTCTGTATTGGGACAGGCACTGTTTAACGTCTTTGTCGGGGACACGGACAGTGGGATTGCGTGCACCCTCAGCAAGTTTGCGGATGACACCAAGCTGAGTGGTGCAGTTGATACTCTAGCAGGAAGGGATGCCATCCAGAGGGACCTTGAGAGGCTTGAGAGGTGGGCCTGTGCGAACCTCATGAAGTTCATCAAGGCCAAGTGCAAGGTTCTGCACCTGGCTTGGGGCAACCCCAAACATGGACACAGGCTGGGTGATGAGTGGATTGAGAGCAGCCCTGCAGAGAAGGACTTGGGGCTACTGGTGGATGAAAAACTGAGTATGAGCCGGCAATGTGTGCCTGCAGCCCAGAAAGCCAACCGTATCCTGTGCTGCATCAAAAGCAGCGTGGCCAGCAGGTCGATGGAGGCTATTCTGCCGCTCTACCCTGCTCTGGTGAGACCTCAGCTGGAGCACTGCATCCAGCTCTGGAGCCCTCAGCACAAGAAAGACAGGAGCCTGCTTGAGTGGGTCCAGAGGAGGGCCATGACTTTGAGCAAGCTGGTCTAATGGAAGGTGTCCCTGCCCATGGCAGGGGAGGGGTTGGAACTAGATGATCTTTAAGGTCCCTTCCAGCCCAAACCATGCTATGATTCTATGATAAAGTCCAAACAAGACAAAAATTCTTACCTCAGAAGAATCTGATCACTGGCGACAGCTCAAATAGGACCAAGAGGCAACTTTCTTGGGGCTCGCTGCATTTTTAGGCTCTGTTAAACCACTCTAATGATGCAAATACAGCAAATGTCTTCCATACTCCACAGGCCATCAGGAAAAAGTTCCAGCACTTAAAAGGATGCTCTCCTTTCATCACAATGATCCCTGTATAGATCTGTCATTCAGCCAGTAAGGAATTAACATATTATTATTTAAATATGCATATTTATTGGGGGGGGGGGGAATCTTTAAGTGCTACCTGTCTTAGTTTGCTACACATTTCGTAGGAGCACCCAGCCTGTCAGGCACTGTCTCAAGGGAGAATGTTCCAACACACCTTTTCCCTATATTCTCCTCTCTGAGTTACAACGCGACAGCACTAAAAATGAGTAATTTGCAAGAAGACGGAGGTGTGGAAAAGGTCTCACATTCCTGGAGACAAAGCATTTCAACTACCTGAAATGCTCTAAGACTTACCACATTTCTTTAAAAAAAAATAAAGTTGTTTTACCGTTTGGTTCTAGTTTCAGACTTGAGGGGAACCTCAGCATATTTTTAACAGCACACATAAGGAAAAGTTTGGGCTTTTTTCTTCCTTTCTTTTTTTTTTTTTTTTTTTAAGTCCATAGCAGCTGGTACTCCTGCATGAAACAAGTTTGCTCACCTCTGCGAACATCCCAGAACTGCAGCATAATTTCTTCAAGTAGAAACAGCCACCTCTGGCCAGGTCCCGGCTCAGCAGCAGAAGCTGATGTACAGCAGAGCAGGGAGGGAAAGCCATAAACCAGCCCTGCTCTCCTCCCCTCCTCACAGCCCTCGCAGCTCCTCAGCACTCCATTCATTCATGCTGAAACTGGAAAAGTCCCCCCAATACCCAAACCGAAACGCAGCGTGGCAGCTCTGCTCAGGCCGGGCAGGGACATGGGCACGCTCCACGCCGGGAACGCAGCCTCTGAGAGTCTGGGGGATACAGACCCGTGATAAACCCAACATCTCTCTCAAGAGACGAAGACACCCTTGTTCAATCATTTTGGCTGACAGCTCCAAATGTTAATAAACTGTGCTGCTTTAGAGACGTGCACCTTCTCCTTATCCAAATATGAACACAGCTACATTAAGCCAGAGAGTCAACAGCTATTGGCTTTTGCCCATTTTAAAACATTAGTAGTAACTTTTAATAAAATGATGTTCAACAAGACAAAAAAATACCTGTTCAAATCACATCAGTTTCCTAGTTGCACTGTGCTAGTAACGGCATATACAAATCACAACACGTGGCACAAATCTGCAGTATTGCCCTTTTACAAAGTCAATCCAGAGCAAATTTCCATTTGGAAGTTAATTTTACGATTTATACCAACTCTT